TAGATCAGGGGCCAAATCATCCTGGCGCATCCCCTTGAAGACCGCCACGGCCCGGTATTCCGCTGGCCCCAGATGGGCCCTTTGCCCCCGCCCATCGCGCAAGTGGCGGCGCCGCTGGCCGATGGGGGGTCGCGCATGAGAGCGACGCGCCGAAGTGGCAGAGCACGACGTAACTTGGCCGACGCGCGCACCTTCGAGAGGGCGGTAGCTGCCGTCGACCCCCGTTCCAGCGCGCGCTCGGAGCCCTCCTCTGGCAGAGCACGGCCGGCGAGAACTCGTCGCTGGGATTTGTCGCTGCCGCGTTAGGGTCAACGCCGCGAGCCCACCGGCATGGGGAAATGCCTTTTTCGCGCAAGAAAGCCAGGCATGACATGGCGTGGCGCGAGGATGCAGGCCTCGATGACCAGCCATTCAATGATGATCGCGTTGGCTCCGCAACCAGTAGCGTCCGCGCAGCAGGGGCCGATTGCCTCTCGACTGAACCGATGTCGTCGCTCCACAACTCTCAGGCTTGAGTGTGCCTGGCCTTGCTGGCGTCCTTCTGAACCAGGAGCTTGGTGAAGCGCTCTCCGGCGAAACCTGGGCCGTTGTCTGCTTCGCTCTGGCTGCAGGTCGCTCTGGCGCGCGCTGCCGCTCCATGCGTTGCGCGCGCCCGCATTCGGATGCACTGTTCAAGAGTGTATTGCCGCGGGGTTTGGATGCCCCATGCTGCGGCGGGGCTGTTCGACGTGCCCCGGCGCTTCCGCGGCGCGCCCCCCGCGAGAACTGCGTAGAGATGCCCGTGATTGTCCTCTAGTTGGCTGCTGCTGTCAATGCTGGCGTGTCCGTGGCGGCGGACTCTCTGAGTCGTAAATCGCGTCGATTTCCCGTTCCACTGCGATCTGCGCCGTCGCGCCTGACGCGACGATGGGGCGCGCCTCCTCGGCTCGCGCGCGCGCCTTGCCTACGAGCTCGTCGCGTCGGTGGCTGGCGTCGCACCTCTCGCCAATGACTGCCGCCGTGAGCTTCTTGGTCGTCTTGATATGAATCGGCATCTTGACCGGTGAGTCGCCGCTGGGAAATGGCAGCGTCGAATGCGCTGTTCGAGTGTCGCGGCTAGGTATGGGCAGGCTTCTGAATGCGACTGTCTGCCGCGATGTCGGGGTATATGGATGCCCGGCGCGAGCGCGACGTGGAACTCCGCGCTGCACCTGGCGGGCGATCGCGGCGAGCGTCTAGCGCGCACGACGATGCCAATCGCGCGGGTCAATGAGGTACTTCTTCCATCCAGGATGCCAGTTGATACGCAGCTCCGGCGCGTCTGACCTTGGCCGCGCATGCAGGGAGAAATGCGCCTCGCCTTGCCGTTATTTGGCGAGCTTCTTCCGGGGGCTCGCCCATCGCAGTACCCCATCCGGCAAGTGGGCCGGACATCGACTCTGGCTCCTAGGTCGCGCGGCGCCCAGGAGAGCCGAGCTTCTCCAGCGTGGGCTTCCCGAGTCGTTTCCTCCGTGTTGACCTGGCGCTGGCTGCTCGACGCGCCGCCGGCGCGCGCTGTTCGTTGGCGTGCTTCGCAGCTGATTCTATATTCTGGATGAGGTTGATCGCCGCCAGCGTAGCCGCGCCCTGTAGGTCGCCGCGCTCGGGGCCACTGCGACTCGCGTCGCTGCTGGAGGGCTCGCGCAGACGCGCGCACGGTGAGAGCAGCGTCGGACCGACCCGAGAAATCCGCGTGGTGGTGAAGCATGGGTTACCGCACTCGGTGCAGTGCTGGCACTGGCGCTGCCATGTGCGTGGGCGACTCGCCTTGGGTCTGATTCTGCGTGGGGTCGCAGTGCCGCGGGCAGGTGCCCCCCCCTGCTCACTGCCGCTCTTCGACTCTGCCGCGTATACGTTGTCCAATAAATCGAGGGCCGCTATCGTCTCGTTGCTGGGGCCCCAGAACTGGGCCACGCCAGTCGGCCCCCACTCTGAATTGAGCTCCTTCCCGAAGGTCGTCTCACCCGTGTTTTCCAGCAGGTCGACCATGTAGCGCCTTCGGGTGAACCGCGCTGCCCCCTCGAACTCGCCGCCGTTCCAGGGCGCCTATTGAAAGGCTTTGTCGACGACGCCTTGGACTTTTCAAGACGCGGCCTTGGGGGCAAAATTGGGGCGTGGCTATGTGCCGCGTAGTTGTAGGGCGTCCCTGTCTTATGCTTGAAGCTGGCCTGGATCACTCCACGCCGCTAAGCGTGCTCGATCTTGCCCTTACCTACCCTGAAGAATGTTGCTCTTGTGGGAATTCAACTGCACGGCCGGGCAAACCATCTGGTGGCAGTCGGCCATATGGCCCATGACCGCCGTCGTCGCGCCGCCATATATGATGCCGTGCCTCGCGGGAATGGCCGGTGTAGTCCGCTGGGTGTCCCAATAGACCTCGTCGATCATCGTGCTCTGGGCCATGCGGCCACTTTGTCGGCGGCCCCGTGCAATCGCGAGCCCAATGACTGGAATTGCCGCGCCTCGACCAAGTAGATGATGGTGATCCTGAGGGGTCTGGCCTGCTGGCTACCGCTCTCCTGTCTGACGGTCTCGGTCTCGCGTTGGGGTTGCGTGCTGGTGGTGGTGGTGGTGATCCGCCCATGCGTCCACCTGGATTGCCTTGGCTCGTCGATCGTCCTCGCCCTGGCGCAACCGTCGTGGGGCTCGAACTTGCACCGCTCCCTTGGTTAATTATCGTAACGACGGAGTAAGGCCCTCTTGACAAATTCAAGTCGTCGAAGCGTTTTTTTTGTTCTCTCTCTCTCCCTCTCTCTCTGTCCCTCGTAGAAGTAGGCCGCGTGGGCCTCGTCAAACTCTCCCGGGTCGAATTCCTGGGCGGTCGCTTTGTCGCACTGGTAATAGCTCTCGTCGCAGTCGTAACAGGTGTCGTCGGCCAACTACTCCTGCTCGTTGTAGTCGCCCTGCCAGTGTAGAGTTTGTCCTCGGAAGGTTCCCCATCATCGTCGACGTAGTATTGTCTCCGCGTGTGATTCAGCTGGTGCATCGTGCTCTGTTGCCCGAAGGTCTTCTCGAGCGCCTCGATGACACTGTCCTGCGTGATGTATTGGCCCACGACGGCCATGATGACCGTCCTCTGATCTGAGCTGTAGTCTCAACGTCGCTGGGTCGGCCAACCTCGGACCTTCGCTGGCAACACGGTACCGTGTGTGCGTTGAGCTGCGCCTCGACCTTATACCTGTTCAGCGTGTAGAAGAAATCCGCATGGGCACGGAACCCAAGCCTGCAAGCCTCGGCCATCACACTTGCGGAGTCTGTCAGGGACCAAGAATCGAAATTGCAAGATCCCGGGGGGGGGTTATGCGGTTGCCCTGGGCTCCAGCGCGCAGTAGTGCATGATTTGTTGCCCACGATGGCCCCAAGACAAACCAGGAGGACTCCAAAAAGCCCCCAACACAATCCAAGATGGCACCGACTCGCTGGAAGATCGACCCGAGACGCGCAACATGGCCCCCAGGGGCCTCGAAGAAACCTCAAAAAAAGGCTCTGAAATAAGCCAGCGTCATTGATTTCCTCTCGTGCTGTGACGGTTTTTGGAACGCTCGCGCGTTCGGTCTCCCGACGCTACCCAAGAGGCCCCCAAGACCGCCCCCAGGCGGCCCGAGAGGCCCCCAAGACGACCGAAGAGGCGCCCAAGACGGACAAGAGGGCCCGAAGACGGCACCAAGAGGGATTCAAATGATCTGGGCTGACTCTTTCCGTGCGTTGTCGAAACTGCCGCGTAGGACTCCGCTGGGAATTGATTCAACTCCAGACTCTAACTTGGAGATCGCGTCGATCTTGACTTCCACGGATGGATATGGATGGTGCAAAACGTGAGCCTGGCACTCCAAGCTTCACTACAAATGTGAAATTATCAAAACCCTCGAAGTCTTTGACGGGTACGGACAAGAAAATATCAAAAGAGATGTGACCATCACTTTTATACCTCGCTCGGTTGACTCAAGCGCCATGTAAGGTTTGGGCCAGTACAGAAATGGAATCTCTACACGATCCTCTGCCAAGCACGTGCAATGTACAAACACACAGATGTACAGCGTAGATCTCACAGAAAGGGCAACGCTACGGGGGGGATAGGCTCAGAGGGGAGATAACGACCTGGCGTCGGCGATGCACTGCCAATCGATGGGCGATGGGCCCCTGATAGCGAAGCAGCACGGCCCCGGGCGCGGCGGGGCCATCGGTGCCTTGTCGACGCTCGGTGGGCGATCCCCGGATCCTATCCCTTCCTGACGCTGCTACTCTCTGACCCCTGGGCCCTCGACGGCGACAACGACGACGACGAAGAACGACGACGATGACGACGACGTCGACGGGCGGAATCAGAGGCCTCCTAGATGGGGTCGGAGTAGATGCGGTCAGAGAATCGCGCCGCATCGCCGATGCATTGGCAATGTAACGGGGATGCATCGGGGATGCATCGGCGATGCACCGTCAACGTCGGTGATGCACCGGCGACGTCGGCGTGGAGAAACTCGGGCTCCACATCGAGCCGCACCGCCGATGCCCGGCGCCATCCTCCGACCCCGTCTACTCCGACTCCATCTAGGAGGCCACGACCGGCACTGGCGTGCCAAGCCCGCGCCGGGGGAGCGCCACGGCGGCCTCCACATCATCGGAACTGCAACCGGACCGCTGCTGGAGCCTTCCTGGATCGAGCCACCAGCCGCGGCGACTCGCTTCGCCAAAAAACGGATCTGGAGAAACCAACAGGTACAGATTCTACAGAAGGAAAACTCGAGAATAGTAAAAAAAATGATTGCTCGTGCTTTCGATACTATATAATTTTTCGTTGGAAGACATGCCCGACCTAACGCTTCTCGCCTGACCTCCCCCAGGGTATGCTCTGATCCAGGTTTCGGGGAGAATCCGGCCGTGGCGACGAAGGCCCAGGAGGGACAACAGGGCGAAAGCAAGACACAGGTAGCGGTATCGGGTACCAGTGCCGTTCTCTCCGCTGAGGGGTCGTGTGCGGCGCGGGC